CTTAATTGAGAGCTCACATGCACTTGGGTCCCCTCAAGGTCTTTGTGTCTCCATCTGCTCGGAGGGCTCATCCTCCCACAGTAACTCCCAGAACAGCCACTTCATTCCCACTGTTCATATCTTGGCTCCAATACTTCCCTCCAAGAGGCCTTTCCTAACCTCACTTCTCAGGAGGTGAGGCTCCTCCACCAGGACATACCTTGCTTCCTAGAACCTAGCACTTTCTGAATGGGTGATCTTGTTAATTCAATTCCACATCTTTTGCAGACCTTTTGGGGAGGAATCAGTAAATGGAAGTCCCTCTCTTCCTCTTCCCCAACCCACATGTCACTGAGTATTTGCCGCTCAAATAAATGTTTAAAATTTTTTTAATTTGAAAAACAAATAATTCTTATTAATTATGAGTTATTTCATGTACCACTCAATCAACCAACAAAAAAATGCTGAATACTTACTAAGCCCCAGAAAGTATAGTAAACATCTTGAAATATCAAAGGATATTGGCAAGTTACGCTTCTGGCCCTCAGACGTACCGTCTTCTTAGCTGACGTAAGTACATAAGCATTCTCAAAATAAAATAGAAAACCTCAAGTGCTATTATGGACAAATTCATATTTGAAGTCTCCATCTCCAGTATTTCAGAAGATGACCTTGTTTGAAGACAGAGTTTCAAAGACGTGATCAACTAAAATGAGGTAATTTGGGTGGATTTTAATCCAATGTGACTCCTCATAAGAAGGAAGGCACCTAAACAGCACTCTGACCTCAGAATCAGCCCTTAAGGCATTGGCTCTGGCTGAAAATATCATGAGAGCATTTCAGGCAGGGAAAGCCAAGACATAGTGGCAAAAATGGTTCTCCCTAAAAGATCTCTGTGAGTGAGACCCAATTGGAAAGAAGGGCCCATCAAAGAAGGATATACTTTTACTGAAGGGAGGAGAGAACTTCCACTTTGCACATGGCCCTGTCTAAATACCGACAGAGACTGTAGACTCAAAAGGCTTCCAAGGCCTTGGCAGCTCATGTCAAGAGCCTCGGGTGGTCATTGACGTCAAAAAATAAGAGTGTTAATTGTTAAATCAACAACAGGAGTCACTGTGCACTTACTCCCCATGTTGGACCTCTTTCCTTAATGAGGTGTACTATGAGAGTTAACGGTAAAATGTGTCTTCAAACAGTACTTTATACTTTGTGTGTCCATATGATTGCAAACAATTTAAATCTCTACTTAGTACAGAGTTGCTCTTCTGTATATAAAGTGAATTAACAATTAATCTTAATTAAAAACGGAATGGAAGAGGGAGTAGGAGGTGGGATGGGAATGAGGGTGGGAGGGTGGGAAAGGGGGGAAGAAACACTATATCCATAAAAGCTGTAAATATGAAATATAAATATGAATATAAATTTCATATTATATTCATTAAATAAAAACCTTCAAAAAAAAAAAAGGAAGGAAGGCACCAGGGCTGGCACTGTGGGGTAGCAGGTGAAGCCACCACCTGTGATGCTGGAATCCCACATGGCTGCCAGTTCACATCCTGCCTGCTCCACTTCCTATCCAGCTCCCTGCTAATGCACCTGGGGAAGCAGTGGAGTATGGCCCAAGTAGTTGGACCCTTTCACCAGGTGGTTGGCCAAGATGAAGCTCCTGGTTCCTGGCTACATTCTGGCCCAGGCCTGGCCATTGCAGTCATTTGGGGAGTAAATCAGAGGATGGAAGACTTCTCTCTTTGCCTCTCCTTCTCTCTCTGTACCTGTCTCTCTTAAGCAAATACATCTTTAAAAAAAAAAAAAAAAAAAGGAAGGCAGGCACACAGAAAAGTCCCTGTGAGGACACACCAGGATAGCAGCAAGTGCCAGTTAAGGAGAGAGACTTCAGGAGAACGCAAATCTGCTGACACCTTGATCTTGAACTTCCAGCCTCCAGAACCATAAGCAAATGAATTTTTGTTGTTTAAAGCAGCCAGCTTATGGTACTTAGTTACAGCCACCCTCCCAAGCTCAGACAAGTGCCTACACGGAAATGAAGAAAATCTTCATCCACAGACACATCTGCGAAGATTCTTGGAGAAGATGGAATTTCATTTAGACTTTAAACGTAAGTGGAATTGTATTTATAGAGATGGGGGGGGGGGGGTTGGAAGCCAGCTCCAGCTTGAACTGCTTTTCAAGGCCAGATCAAAGAGCAGGATCTCACTCTATTGGTTTAGAGGGCCTCTGAGGGATTTTGCACAAGACAAGGGAAAAGCCAAACCAAATTCAAGGTGCACTAACTCTGCAACTTGTACAAAATGCACTGAGAGAAGAGGAGGAAAGCGTGAAGGAAAGTTGAGAAATTCCATCTGTAGCCCAAGCAGGAAGTGCTGGGGCCTGAATAGGACAATAAAGGCTACAGGAGATACCTAGACTTCTCGTCCATGCAGCTTCCATTCTCCCTTTCTGGTAAACGTTCCCCAGTTTTCCCGGACAGAACTATCATTCCCTCCCCACCTGCCTCCCAGGCGAGGTCATTTGAGTGAAATGACACATGTGATGGCACACATCCCAGGCCTGGCCAATCATCTTTTTTTTTTTTTTTTTTTTGACAGGCAGAGTGGACAGTGAGAGAGACAGAGAGAAAGGTCTTCCTTTGCCGTTGGTTCACCCTCCAATGGCCGCCGCGGCTGGTGCGCTGCGGCCGGCGCACCGCGCTGATCCGAAGGCAGGAACCAGGTGCTTCTCCTGGTCTCCCATGGGGTGCAGGGCCCAAGCACCTGGGCCTCCTCCACTGCACTCCCTGGCCACAGCAGAGAGCTGGCCTGGAAGAGGGGCAACCGGGACAGAATCCGGCGCCCCGACCGGGACTAGAACCCGGTGTGCCGGCGCCACAAGGCGGAGGATTAGCCTAGTGAGCCGCGGCGCCAGCCATGGCCAATCATCTTATTCCAGTCTCCTGGCAACAGTGATGCCAAAGCCAAGAACCACAAATGGGGTGGCTTACAACAGATTTATTTCAGCACAGGTCTGAAGACTAGAAGTCCAAACTGAAGGTGTCTGCAGGGCCAGGCGCCCTCCCAAGTCCCTTCCAAACTTGGTAGTCCCATGTGTGTTTTGCTCCAGCTGATGTCACTCTAATTTCTACTTCTATCTTCACATTTATCCCTCTTCCCTATGTCTCTTTGTCTTTGCACAGCATTCTCCTCTGTGTCTCTCTCTTCTTTTTAGGAGGGCACCTGTCATGTTGGATTAAGGACCCATCCTGCTCTATTATGACCTTATGGTAAGTTAACTAACTACACCTGCAAATAAGGTAATACTCTGAAATGCCGAAGATTACAAGCAGGCAGTTCAATTTCACCCCCAAAAGACTTTTCCTAGGACTTTATTTGAAATATTAGAAAAGATTAACCTTACCACTACATGGCTTAACATAAGGAATGCATAAGCCTGGAGCTACCAAGGGTCATGAGTGCACCATTAGAGAGGAATCGGCACAAAGTCCAGCCTGGAGAACAAGAGAACAAACAAATCTTGATGGTGTGGTCTGAATTCCTAGATCCAACCATGCCTGAAGCTGAGTTCCAGCTATGGAAGTGATTGTATTAAGTTTATTCATTAGTCCGATCTATATGTGTCATTTAAAACCAACAGGCCTGCATATCACTGAAATACTAAGATTTGACCAGTGACTACATATGAGCGCAGTAGGAGAAAATCAAAGATTTATCCAAACCTGAGTTACAAAGAAGTAGGGAACAGTATGGGCAAAGAAAACTCAATAGGAAGAGCAAGTATGGAGACGAGGTAGATACTGATATTAATTTTGGACTTCCTGAGCTTAAGGTTCTAGGAGGATGTACATGGGGCTACATTCTGTGTGACACAGGAAAGGTAAGATAAGTGCTTAGGAAATAAAGAATATTGGCCATCACAATAAGTATGATTTGTACTAGCACAGAGATATGTGTAGGTCAGAGTTCAATACAAAGGGAAAAAAATCACTGTAAATATTCCAAGTCAAAGGAGATTTAACACAGGGAATTACCAATGCCATAAGCACTCCAAAAGCCAGAGGGCCAGGAGGGACAGAAGCTGAGACCATGGCATTCCAAGACGTGCTACCACTGCTGCAATTCCAAGGTTACAGGCTGTAGCTACCACTGTCCCTTCCAGCCCTAGTAGATGTTAACTATACAGTGACACGATGCATTCAGCCATCACAGCAGCTTCTGAACACTCATGTTGCCACCACCTTGGCTCTGTATAGGCACCGCTGCGGGAAAGTCTCAGGCAAGAACAACCAAGCAGTAGGACTTCCCCTGCAACAGGCATCCTAGCTTCAACAAAAATGGGTTTACTTTCTAACCTCTCCCAGTGGAAGGAAGAAGAAATAGCAGTTGACAAAGCCAAGTTGAAGATTCTGGCATAAGGAATGTTTGAGTACTATGAGGACACAAAGGAGCAATTAATTGTCACTGTGATCACTGAACAGCCTGAGCTTGACCTTTATGCACGAGGTCTGTCTACCCATCTCTAAAATGAGGCAGCTGAAGTCTGTGATTTGCAAGCATCTCTTCATCCCAGTTATTTCAGAAGTCTGTGAAAGACAACCTCGCTCCAACCCACAGTTAGTTTTCTCCCTGGGAGTATTATCTTCCCAGGCGACAGGCAAGCCCCGTACATTGGAACGTAATCATTAAACATCTGGCAAGAAGCACCACCCCATACACAGTTTAATAACTCACATTCCAATCCAATTACTGCAGGTTTCATAAACAAGTACTTATTAGAATACGGTCGTTTCCTCTGAGCAAGCAGCATTTTTAGACGGGAAATTACAATGATTAGCTTCAAGATACAGGCATGAATAATAGAATCACTCCTCTTCTCTCCTTGTTCTTATTGTTCCCCTTGCACGCCGTCTTAAATAGGCAGTGTCTGTGCAGTAGCTCAGTGCAGCCGGCTGTCCCACTTGGACCTGTCCATCCCTTGACAGAAGATCCTGTAGGTTTCTTCATCAAAACACATCTGCCAGCACCTGCGTGTCAAGAGGAGAAGCAGCCAGTGTGATGGATGTTCTCCTCATGATCTGCCATCACCAAATCACCATCTTCAGTGATGCCGAGGAACCAAGTACCATGCTCAAACCGAAGCGCAACATCCAGGGCATCTTCAAGCAGCTGCCCGATGAGCAACAGCTGTGCAAGGCCAACCAGCTTCTGGATGCCTACAAGACGCTGGGAGAATGTGGCTTTACCAGCCAGAGAGCATGGCCACAGGTTCCAGCCACAGTGGGACTGGCCTTCCGGGCAGATGGTGCTTTTGGAGCTCAGCACGTTGAGCCCTTCTCCAGCCCTCCGGAGCTGCAAGACTCAGAGAGCAGTACCCATGAACAAGCTGCACCGTGAGGGCCCCAGGCCCACCCCCATAGAGGCACATTCACCCAGTTAGGGATCTGGGCGTCTGCCTGGTTGCTGCCTCTTTCTCCCCCACCCTCCTCCAGACTCCAGGAGCTACCCTCCCTGGGATGGGTCCTGCAACCCTACAAGACTTCAGCTTCTTGATAGCCAGGCAACCTGCTGCCGCTGAGAATTGGGTACGTGGCTGCCCTGAAAGCCGGACCATTCTCCACAGCCAACATGGGGACAAGGGAAGACTAGTCTGGGACAAACAGTGAATTCTTTCTCCAAGGTACCTTCCCAGGGACCTCCTGGCTTGTTCCAAGTCTTCCAGGATGAGGAATAAAGGCCAGGAGCCAAAGTATGAGCTGAAGCCCCAGTGCCTGTAGCCTGAGAGCAGGATCTGTGAGGGAACCACAACTTAGAACACCTACTGCACAGCCTGTGGGCCTTTAGCAGATCCTGACAGCGATAGAGCACATGTGGTTTTTCCCTCGCTATACTTAATTAAGCAGGCTACAGACCCCAAGAAAACATGCATCTGCCTTGCTTATGGGTCTGCTAGGCGTCCTACTTATTGTTTATCCATTGCTGAGTGGCTATCAATAGTATGAGAATATGAGGGGACTTTGGTGGAAGAAGAGCAGCAGCAGACTGACGGTGGACTGCCTGGCTTCAGATGCTGGTGACCTCTTGCTGAGTCAATGAATCCCCGTTGTTCAAATGAATGGGCTGGATTAGAGCAGGAATTCTTAACCTGTGGTACGTGGACATGCTTCAGGCAGATTAAGAAGCTGACAATGAGTTAAGAATACGGTAGTGACTTATCCTGACTATCGAGGAACAACTTACTACTTTATTCCTTTTAGTATTCTTTTTGTTCTGCTTAATACCATTGGTTGAACTCTTTAATTGGCACACAACTATTCTTGGGTGTTTATTTTTTTTAACAATCAATATCTGTTTATTTTTTTTAATTTTCAATTATCTTTATATACAGAAGATGAATTTAGCATATATTAAGTAAAGATTTCAACAGTTTGCACCCACACAGAAACACAAAGTGTAAAATACTATTTGAGTACTAGTTATAGCATTAATTAAACACCTAAGAGTAATTGTGTATTAATTATAGAGTTCAACCAATAGTTTTAAGTAGAACATAAAAAATACTAAAAGGGTAAAGTATTAAGTTCTTGTTTAGTCAAGGCCGTATCACAGTGGAGGTTCCTTCCTCCCTTCAGAGAAAGGCTCCTTTCTCCTTGATGGCTTGTTCCTTCTGCTGGGGTCTTGTTCACCCACATGAGATGCTGGCACTGTAGGCACCAGCCCTGTAGTCAAATTTTCAGAATATAATATAAAGAAAAGATCCTAAAATGTGCAAGAGAGAAATGAAAAACTAACTTCAAAGAATCTCTAGTTTGACAGGTGATTTCTCATCAGAAGCCCCACAGGCTAGGAGAGAATGGGGAGTTATAGCCCAAGTCCCGAAAGAAAAAAACTGTCAGGCCAAAAAACCTCTCATTTATAAATGAAGGTAAAATAGAGACTTTTCAAAACAAACAGAAATTGAAAGAATTTGTCACCATCCAGCCAGCCTCACAAACAGAGAAGAATGATCAGCATCATTAAAGAATATGAAGGCAGAAAACCTCCTAGTAAAAGTACAAAGGAAATCCAAAGCAAACAATAGGAATATTTATGGGAAAATAGCACAAACAAGTCATTACTTACCAATAAAAACCTTGAATGTAAATGGCCTAAATTCTCACAATTTAAAGATACGGACTGGTTGAATGGGTTAAAAAATAAGACTCCAGTATCCAAGATGGCTGAATGGGATATAGCCACACAAACTTCAGCTGTTCTGTGGTATGAAAAGAATGAAGGATGGACTACATTTCCAGAGGTTAGACTGACAGAAATTTTCAGTGAAGAAGTGAGAAAAAAAAAATAATGAGGACTTTGTGGAACATACAGAGAAAAGATGAGATACTGACAGAGGCAGCCACATGGTACAGCCAGCTGCTGGCTGTGAGCCACCATCTTGTCACTTTAAGGTAGGAAGAAATTGCTGCATGCACAGTGCTCCCAGTTTTAGCTTAGAGGGAATTTCATAGTCACCTGCTAACTTTTACTTCAGCTGGGAGAGCTGTCAGAGCAACTGCCAGGCTTGGAGCAGGGAAACCAGGACCACATCGTCCTCTCAACAGATGCAGTGAAAGCGTCTGCTAAGATTAAACACCCTTCATGATAAAAACTCTCCCCAGGTTAGGTATAAGAGGAACATTCCTCAAAACTGTAAACCAACAGCCAATGTCATACTGAACGGAGAAAAGGTGAAAGAATTACTCTCAGATCTAGAACAAGACAAGGATGTCCACTTTCACCACTCTCATTCAATACAGTACTTGAAGTTTTAACAAGAAAAATTAGGGGGGCTGGCGCTGTTGCACAGCGGATAAAGCCACATCTGCAGTGCTGGCATCCCATGTGGGTGCTGGTTCAAGTCCCAGCTGCTCCATTTCTGATCCAGCTCCCTACTACAGCATGGGAAAGCAGTAGAAGATGGCCCAAGTCCTTGGGCCCCTGCAACCATGTAGGAGACCCAGAGCAATCTCCTGGCTCCTGGCTCCTGGCTCCTGGCTCCTGACTCCTGACTCCTGACTCCTGGCTTCTGGCTTCTGATTGGCACAGCTTTTAGCCATTGTGACCATTTGGAGAGTGAAAACATCAGATTGAGACATCCTTCTCTCTGCCTCTGCCTCTCTGTAACTCTGCCTTTCAAATAAATAAATAAATCTTTAAAAAGAAGAAAGAAAGAAAAATTAGGAAAGAGAAAAAAATAAAGGGCATCAAAATTGGAAATGAATAAGTCAAATTATCCATGTTTGCAGATAACATGATGTTATAGAAGGAAAAACCTAAATACTCCATGAAAAAGTTGTTAGAATTGATAAACCAATTAAGTAAAGTGGCAGATTACAAGATAAACATACAAAAAATAGTAGCTTTTATATGCCAATGATGGACCCACAGAAAGAGGAATCAAGAAAGAAATTCCATTCACAATAGCCACAAAAAATCAAATATTTAGGAATAAATTTAATCAAAGAAGTGAAAGAACTCTACAATGAGAATTATCAAACATTGATGAAAGAAATCATCAAGCATTCAAAAAAATGTTAAGATATTCCTTGCTGATGGACTGGAAGAAATAATATCATTAAAATTTCTATACTACCTAAAGCAATCTACAGATTCAATTCAATTCCTATTAAAATATCAATGACATTCTTTATAGAACTAGAAAACACAATACTAAAATTCATATGGAATTATAAAAGACACAAAATAGCCAAAGCAATTGTAAACAAGAAAAATCAAGCCGGAGACATCACAATACCTGATTTGAAAGCATATTGAGGGCTGGGGCTGTGGTGTAGCAGGTAAAGCTGCTGCCTGCAGTGCTGGCATCCCATGTGGGCGCTGGTTCGAGTCCTGACTGCTCCACTTCTAATCTAGCTTTCTGCTATGTCCTGGGAAAGCAGGAGAAAATGGCCCAAGTTCTCAAGCCCCTGCACCCATGTCAGGTACCAAGAGGAAGCTCCTGGCTTTGGATCAGTGCAGCTCCAGCAGTTGCAGCCAGTTGGGGAGTGAACCAGTGGGTGGAAGACCGACCAACCTCCCTCCCTCCCTCCCTCTCTCTCTCTCTCTCTCTCTCTGCCACTCCTTCTCTGCCACTCCTTCTCTCTCTGTGTAACTCTTTCAAATAAATAATAAAATAAATCTTTTTTTTTAAAAAAAAAGCATATTGGAAAACTATAGTAATTAAGACAGCATGGTACTGGCATAAAAACTGACACACAGATAAACAGAACAGAACAGAGAGCCCAGAAACTAATCCACTGAATACAGCCAACTGATTTTTGACAAAAGTGCTCAGATTATTCAGTGGAGTAAGGATAGTCTCTTCAACAAATAGTGCTGGCAAAACTGGATTTATTTATAAGCAGAAGAATGAAATTAGATCCACACCGCTTGCCATACACAAGATGGATCAAAGACTTAAATTTGAGATCTGAAACTATGAAGTTGCTGGAAGAAAACATATGGGAAACATTCCAAAACAATGGCGTAGGAGATGACTTCTTGGTTAAGACCCTCAAAGCACAAGTAACAAAAGCAAAACTAAATAAACGGGACTCTATCATGCTCAGCTTCTGCACAGAAAAGGAAGTAATCAATAGAGTGATAAAGCATCCAACAAAATGTGAAAAAATGTTTGGAAACCACCAATCTGACAAAGGTTTAATATCCCAAATAAATATATTATCAACTTTAAAAACTCTACAACAAAAAGCAACCAATCCAGTGGAGAAATGGCAAAGGACTTCACTAGACATTTCTCAAAAGAGGAAATACAAATGGCCAATAAATACATGAAAAAATGCTCAACATCATTAGTTATCAGGGAAAAAGCATATCAAGACCACAGTGAGATATGACTTCACCCTGTCAGAATGAGTAAAAATCAAAACACAGAGAATAATACATGCAGGTGAGGATGTGAACAAAGGGGAAAACTTACCCACTCTTGGTGAAAATATAAATTAGTGCAAAGACTTTGGAAAACAGTGTAGAAACTTCTCTAAAAAACTAGAAATAGATTTGCCAAATTATCCAGCAATTCCTGTATGGGGTATATACCCAAAAGACTCAAACATAACATGTCAAAGAGATACCTACACTACCATGTTCAGAGCAGCATGGTCACAATAACCAAAATTTGGAATCAACCAACATGTCGATCATCAGATGAATGGATCAAGAAAATCTGGTACATACACATAATGGAATATTATTCTGCTGTAAGAAAAAGCATGAAATTCCACCACTTGCAGCAAAATGATGCAACTGAAGGACATCATGCTGAGTGAAATAAGCTGGACCCAAAAAGACAAATATCACATGTTCTCTCTTATATGTGGGAACTAAAATTCAAAAACCAAATAAAAAGAAGAAAAAAGGGAATGTCTATGTGTGTCAGTATTACTGCAAATATAGTTATATAAAATTGTGCTTTATACCTTTGTGAAACCAATGGTTAAGAATGTTA